TACCTGTGCGTACCGTCTGACCCAGGTATAGAGCCTGCTGCTCTAGGTGCTGGTGAGGCTGCTGCTCTAGGGGCTAGTGTGTCTCCTGCTCTAGGTACTGGTGAGGCTGCTGCTCCAGGTGCTGGTGAGTCTGCTCTCTCTGGTACTGCGCCTGCTGAGGCCTTGTACACCTTCACACTTGACTCCGGTGCTTCTCGCTCCTTCTTTCGCGACAGCACCACCCTCACGCCGCTCAGTCGGCCGGTTGAAGTCTCCCTGGCAGACCCCTCTGGGGGTCCAGTCCGTGCGACCTCCACCACTGTCCTCCCTTGTCCTGCTGTCCCGTCCGGCACACTGTCGGGTCTTTACCTCCCCTCGTTCTCTACGAACTTGGTGGCGGGTTCTGCGCTCCAGGACGCGGGTGTTCACCAGTTCACCCCTGCCTACGAGCGTGTGACACACTGCACGTGTGCTCAGACGGGTCGTCACCTGGCTACCTTCACTCGGCAGCCGGGGTCGGGCCCGTACACACTGACCACTGAGTCCCCTCAGGTAGCTGCGTCTGCGTCTGCGTCAGGTCAGTTGTCGGCCCCCTGCTCGTGTCGCGCCTTGTCGCACCAGACCCTCCTTTGGCACCACCGCCTTGGTCACCCCTCGGTGCAGCGCCTTCGCAGCATGCACCGCCGTGTCCTTGTCTCTGGTCTTCCCAGGGTTCTCCCTCCCCTCCCACCCTCGCCTGCTCCTCCCTGTCTTCCCTGTGTCGAGGGGCGGCAGCGCGCCGCTCCTCACTCCTCCTCGTTCCCTCCCACAGAGGCTCCCCTGCAGACTCTCCACCTGGACGTGTGTGGCCCAGCCCGCGTCCGTGGACAGGGCCACGAGCGGTACTTCCTGCTGGTCGTCGACGACTACACGCGTTACACCATGGTCTTCCCCTTGCGCACCAAGGGTGAGGTCCCTGATGTTTTGATCCCTTGGATCCGCGCAGCTCGTCTCCAGCTCCGCGAGCGGTTCGGGACGGAGTTTCCCGTCCTGCGTCTGCACTCTGACAGAGGTGGGGAGTTTTCCTCCGACCTCATGGCAGCCTTCTGTGCGGAGCACGGCATCCGCCAGGCGTCCACGCTTCCGGCCTCTCCGCAGCAGAATGGGGTTGCTGAGCGCCGCATTGGCTTAGTCATGGAGGTCGCTCGTACCTCCATGATCCATGCGGCTGCCCCCCATTTTCTGTGGCCGTTTGCGGTCCGGTACGCCGCGCATCAGCTTAACCTCTGGCCCCGTGTCTCCTTGCCGGAGACCTCGCCCACGCTACTGTGGACGGGGAAGGTTGGCGATGCGTCGCGTTTCCGGGTCTGGGGTGCTCGTGCCTTTGTCCGCGATACCACCGCGGACAAGCTCTCCGCCCGCGCTGTTCCCTGTGTCTTCCTTGGCTTTGTCCCTGACGCGCCTGGTTGGCAGTTTTACCACCCCACCTCGCGCCGTGTCCTCCCCTCTCAGGTTGTCACGTTCGACGAGTCGGTTCCCTTTTACCGTCTCTTCCCCTACCGCACTGCCCCTCTCCCCCCTCCGCCGCTCTTCCTCGCTCCAGGTGCTCCCCAGGTAGACCCCCTCCCCGCTCCCGGTCCTGCTCCTTCAGGTGTGTCTCAGGTAGACCCTCCCTTGACTGCGCCGGTTGAGGTCACTGGTGACTCTGGTCCTGCTCGGGGTACTGCTTCAGGGGGTGCAGAGTCTGGGGGTGCTGAGCCTGGGGGTGCGGAGCCTGGGGGTGCGGAGCCTGGAGGTGCGGAGCCTGGGGGTGCGGAGTCTGGGGGTGCTGAGCCTGGGGGTGCTGAGCCTGGGGGTACTGCACCTGGGGGCGCTGAGGCGTCTGGTGAGCAGTCTCCCTGGAGCGGCCGTCTCCGTAGTCGCTCCGCTGGTGCCTCGCCGCTGCTTTCTCGTCGTCGACTCCCTCTCTCCCCGCAGCAGCTGCTTGAGTGGTACGTTGGCCGTCAGGGTCGCGCTGCTGGAGCTAGGGGCCCTGCTGCGGGAGGCGCTGGAGCTGGTGACTCTACTACTGGAGTTGTTTCTGCTGGAGGTTCTGGAGCTGGAGGTTCTAGAGCTGCTGAGGGTGCTGGCACTGGAGGTTCTGGAGCTGCTGAGGGTGCTGGCGCTGGAGGTTCTGGAGCTGCTGCGGGTGCTGGCGCTGAGGGTTCTGAGTCTGCTGTTGCGCGGTCTCCTTGGAGTGGCCACCTTCGTCCGCGTGTGCCTCTCACCTCACAGCAGCTGCACGACTGGTACGGTCGCCGTCAGGGTCGCGCTTCTGGAGCTCGGGGCTCTGCCGCTGGAGGTCCTTCTGCTGGCGTCCCTGGTGCTGGGAGTGGTGCTGGTCCCGGAGGTGCTCGTACTGGAGGTACTGGAGCTGCTGGGGCTGGAGGTGCTGAGCCTGAGGGTGCTACTGCTGGAGACCCTGGGTCTGGGGGTGCTGCTACTGGAGACACTGAGGCTGGAGACCCTGGGACTGGAGGTGCCGGTTCTGGGGGTGCTGCTG